ACTACATACAACATGGAGTTGGCCCCCACCCTCCTTAATTTATAGACCAGTGGGTGTGATAGGGGTCATTTTTTAAAAAATATTTTATTTATGTGTGTGAGAGAGTTGGCAAAGGAGCAGAGGAGTAGGGAGAGGGACAGAGACTCCACCCTGAGCCTAGAGCCATACATGGTTCTATCTCACGACCCTGAGATCATGACCTGAGCCGAAATCAAGAGTCTGATGCTTAACCAGCTGAGCTGCCCAAGCATCCTAATAGGGATCATTCTTAAAATGAATAATGTCTTGATTAAAATGGAATCTAGAAAATACTGTCCCGTATTTTTATATGATTTAATAGTAAACCACAGAAAATACTCTAAGTTCAATCAGCTAGTTAGGTACAGTACATGAAAATCTAAAACCAAAGCATTTTATTTCCAATCAAAGATGATTCTAGTCTTTTTTCCTGGGAATAATGAAACATATTTGTCAATTTTTTTTTTCAGTTTACCTCCTGCTGTGTATGCTTTTTTGCTTCCATCCTGATTCTGATTACATATTAATCATGAGTGCTGGATGCTAAGGTTAAAGATTTTGATTTTATATACCACACTCATGTATTGGAGTGTGTTTTAATTTTTTGGAAATGAGACATAGAGTATGTGAGATACAATTACTGGTAATAGGAAATAATAGCATTTTCTTTGAAAATGAATTAAATTTCAATAATTTTTTAAAGATTTATTTATTTGAAAGAGAGAGCACAGGAACGACTGGGGGGAGGGGCTGTAGGAGAGGGTAAAAATCTCAAGCAGACCATGCTGAGTCTGGTGCCCCACATGGGGCTTGATCCCAGCACCCTGAGATCACAGCCTGAGACGAAATTGAGTCAGTCAGTAAACCAAATGAGCCACCCAGTTACCCCTCAATAATTTTTTAAAAAAATTTTTAAGTACTCTCTATCCAGTGTGGGGTTCAAACTTGCAATCCCAAGATGAAGAGTTGTATGCTCTACTGACTAAGCCAGCCAGGCACCCCAATAAGTTTTAATATTTTTATCATTGATGAATACTTTTTATGTTTGAATGAAAATATTTCAATCCAAAGCCAACATTTATTTGATAATTGCAAGATAAATCTCTGTGTATGGCTATATATTTATTACATTTTCCCATCCTTTTTCTAGAAAATGTTATTAGAAAGGCTATGGTGAAATACATATTGTTGAACCTGGAATTCTTATATACTCTAAATCACATTTCTTGAGTCATCAAACAGTGGTTCAATGATTAATAATATATCTGAACCACTGGGGATAGTTGGGGAAATGAACTGATTGTAACAGACTGATTTGCTTCCCTGAACCCTTTAGTTATGAAAGATCATAATTTTATTTATACTCATGACTCAACCTAGGAACAAAAGCGAAATTCCACTGCACATTTTTTTTTGCTTATTTTTGAAGTTTCATTTCAGCCAGTCATCCAACAATAATTTTATTGAGTTTTACTATGGATATTCATATGTACTTTAGGATTTCTGATAGCAGCAAATAATATAAGCCCTTGAAAACGTGAGAATGTCACTTCTAAATCAAAATACGTATGAGAGAGCACGCAACCTTGATAGAAGAACACATTGCATCCATGTGCAGATGAACTGATATTTTATAAATAATTTCCAGCTATATTTAATACATGTTAAAACTAGTTCTCACCACTATTGCAGATAATTTCTTTTCCTTTAACCTTATTTATTATAATCAAAAGCACAGGGAAACTAAGGTAGAATAGAAACTTAGATACTAAAAAAATAAAACTTAGAAATTAAGGCTTTCCAAGGTAGAATATTTGTGATTCTGTTTATTCTTTGTCTGTACATTTGGGTTTGCTGAATCTTTGTACTTAATGTAAACCATATTTTCAGACTTGCCCATCTTAACTGATGTGTTTACAAATATCTAAATTTTAGAGCTAAATGCAGCCTGATCTGATTTCTGAATGGTCATGGGGCTTTGGCTTAATTGACTGGTTTGATTTTTCAGCTACTTTTATTTCCCTTGCCAAACATTCCACTAGACATGCTAACAAGAAATGAAATGGTCATAAGGCTGGAAGCCAGAAGGAAATGAGTGATAAGCAAAGGTCTGGGTAGTAAGAAAACTCGGTAACTGGCCACTGTAATTGAGAGTTGGCTGTATGAGGCAAAATGTCTGTGACTACACTTACTGTATGCACTGGATTTTGCTAGCACATTATTATTCTTCATAGAATGGTATTAAGGCAAGAACATAGAAAATTATAATGATTTATGGAGAACATGCATATAAAAGATTTCATTCATTCATTCATTAATTCGTTTGTTCAGTCATCCATTCTTTTAATTTCAGCTCAGTCTCTGGGACCAGGTTTTAGGCATTGGACTGATCAGTTCAGGATAGATAGAAGTTTTCAAGGAAATGTTGAATCTTCCCTTTCTTCCTGAATATTGTTAAATCTAAAGTTTAATTAGAATTTTGAAGAAGCAAGTCCTAGAGGCTTAAGCTTTTGCCTAATGACTTTTCAGACATTACCAGATTAACTAGATATATATGATATATTACCCAAAATATACAATTAAATCAGTATCTTCAAGGAAAACAGATTGGTATATAGTTAATTGTTAAATATATAAAAATTATCTGAAAATTATAGAATTTAAATAATTTTTCTTTACCTCTTAATAAATAAGACCTATAGCTTAGGATACATCCAAATACTAAATACAGCAAGTATAACCTTCATACTACCAAGCCATATAATTCATAGCTAGTGTGAATTAAGATTTTTTTACCTATGAAAGGAAAAAGCAAGCAAAGAAAGCTATTTTTTTTTTTAAAGCTATTTATTTATCTGCTTGAGGGAGAGAGAGAAAGTGCACAAGCTGGGGACGGGGACAGAGGGAGAGAGAGAAGGAGACTCCCAGTTCAGCAGGGAGGCCTACATGAGGCTCCATCCCAGGACCCTGAGATCATGACCTGACCTGAAGGCAGATGCTTAACTGACTGAACCACTCAGGCTCCTCAGAAAGCTATTTTCTATCATCAGAATGGCAAACTAAACTTCATGATTTAGAAGGAACATATGAGGAAAACTTAAATGTGCAGTACAATGAGGGGTGCATCGATGTTTGTTAAAAAGAACCAGGGAGGGAAACAAACCATAAGAGACTCTTAATCTCAGGAAACAAATTGAGGGTTGCTGAGGGGTGGTGGGGGAGGTCTAGGGTGGCTGGGTTATGGACATTGAGGAGGGTGTGTGTTATGGTGAATGCTGTGAATTGTGTAACACTGATGATTCACAGACCTTTACCCCTGAAGCAAATAATACATTATATGTTAATAAGAAAAAAATCAATTAAAAAAAAAAAGCTATTTGCTCAAGGTCTTTCAGCAGTGCTTAGTAAAGGCAGTGCTTAGTCAAGACTAGATTCAGGTCCTTCAGACATGGAAGACAAGCAATTTCCCTTCTTTTTGTAACATGATGGAATTATATTTAAAACAATATTATAGCAAAAATAAAGGAAGAGAACTATAGTGTAATAATACTGTAGGTTTTAAAATCAGAGATAGCCGTGTTGGGAATATGCTGGAGAACTAATTGATTGTGTGACCTCAGCAGGTTTTTTAAATCCACAATGCTTTCAGTTAAGGACACCATAAAATGGGAATAATATATATCACTAAAGCACAAGATGGTGTGAACATAAAGTAGTATAATGTATGTATGTAATATATATATAAATATGTAATGTTATATAATTCTAATCATGCAAAAAACTAACTAGTGTTTTCTATATATAAAATACCCATTTTCCATATTTCTTTGTCTTTTTGAATTGTTCATTTTGCATTACTTATTTTCCAAGTTGCTGTTGTAATATATAGAGAGGTATATTTTCAGCTTTGCTCCCATGACGTTAAACTGTGACAATTATCTAAAATGCCATAGACTTCAGAGTTGTTATTTTAATTCAGAATAATTCATAGAATTGACACCCAACAGTTGCCGGAATCATTATATAGTTGAACATTTGTTCTATTTGTAAATACATATAACAGTATACTCAACACTCTTGTATCTAATGCTTTTCATATTTTAAATATTTCCCTCAGTATAAATTTCCAAGAGTAACAGCATAGTGGATTCAAGTTGCTGCTTTTGGTTTTATTATGTATTAGCTGTATGACATTGAGTAAGTTGATTACCCTCCACATATCTTAGTTTTCTCATGTGTAAAAAGGAAATGATAATACTTAAAAAGTTATCATATATAGAATAATTAAACCAGCATCTGGCACATAATAAATGCTATATAAAGTTAAATGCTCATTGAAAGATTTAATTGTATTTAAGGGCACATATTTCTAAAATGGTTACTATAAGTTACTGCCAACAGCTATTTTAATTTTATTTTCCTTTTAAACATGGATTTTATATTTTTAATGTGTTAATCAAATACAGATTTTTAAGAGTTATAATTATTCATCTTAATTGTTTTATGAAAATCACATATAGGATCCATGGAGATGGGGACTTTGATTTACTTGCTCTGACTAACCAGCATAAAAAGAAACACCTAGTACATAGCTCTATAAATATCTGTAAAAAAGATAAATGATTGTGGAAATCTTGGCTATATGTTGGGCTGGAAGGCAGAAATACTTCATTTTGCAGATCAGCTAGGATTCAACTAAAGATAAAAAAGGGGGCATATTTTATGCTCACAGAAAGCCATGCCAAATAAACCGATTGAGATATTATAGGTTATAGCCTCTTGTTTTGAAAACAAATCTTCTTCAATTTTTTATGTTTTATTTCTATTAAATATTTTTTGCAACTTTGCAAAATTGGGAAGATAGGGAAAGCTTTTACATTTTTTAATTCATCAGTGTATCAAATTGTATTATATATATTCATGACATGATATTTATTGAACTCTGCTGATCATGTTTAATTTATTATTTACCATATATCCAGGTAAACCAGTCATGATTGTCACAGAATACATGGAGAACGGTTCCTTGGACAGTTTCTTACGTGTAAGTAGAAGATTTTATATATATTCATATATCTCTTTTCCCCATCTATCCATATCTCTTATCCCTCTATCTATACACATATATGCATAAATATGGAATGAATCGCTGAAAATGTGAGACAACCTCTAATATTTTGCGAGTTATTAGATAACGAAGTTTAAAGTAAAACTGAAATTGAGGGAACTAAATAGTAAGAGGAAGACTAAAATCATATCTTTATCTTGCAGCATCCCAAGTTAATGGTTTATATTTTAAAACAAATTTGTGAGAACTTCTTCAGCCTTTTTGTACTGCGGAGATTCACATTGGTTAAAATAGAAAATTCTAAAAGACCCTTAAATTAAGACATAAATAACATTGATCGATGTAAGATGAACATTCTCTTTTCTTCATTTAAAGTAACCTCAGGCTGCTATTAGATCGAAGACCATCTATCTCTCACATAGAGCTTTTGTCTCAGAAAATAAGCAAGTTTTATAATTCCAAAGTAGTCTCAATTCAGAGGTATCATTTCGGTGATATATATGCATCCATACATATTCTTAATGATTTTAACTTAGAAATTTTATTTTTAAAGATTGCTTCAGCAAATATTCAAAGAAATAAGTTTGATGGGGAACAAGATCCTGCCAATCACTAATCACTGCAAGGGTTAAAAAAAGACTTTATACTCTGTCTTTAATATGCTTTCAGTGTTATAAAATAGAAATAGATAGATAGACAGGAAGCATAGTACAATTCATTCATGGAGGAAAATTTTAAATTATTAATTAATTAATTAATTAATTAATTAATTTAAATTATTTATTACTTTAAAATTATTTATTTTAATATTCATGAGGCAAATACAAATTTTACCAGCAATTATTTTCCCAAGCATTTAAAAAACAAGTACTTTTCAAATCAGATAATTAAAACCATTATAATAAATATTCTTTTAAATTGTTATTGTGTAGATAAAACTAAACATGGAATTTTATATCTATCTATGCATGCATTTATGCACATATGTATACCCATATGTGTGTATCTATTTACCTATATATCATATAAATCGTGTATTTCTATTTTAATCCAAGTAAACTGGAAACTTTTCTAAATACAGACCTCTGACTTTGTGTTTTATTGTCTTCCATTTTATAACCTATAACTTGAGATTGAGTAGAAAATGAATATTCAGTAAATATTTCTAATTCTGAATTATTTATTTATGATGATAATTTAAACATGTAACATCCACCTTCTTTGGAGCACTTAATAAAAATCTGAAAAACCAGAAGGAAGAATGGACATTCAATCAAATAAGTATGTAAAACTAAAATAGCCACAGGATTCATTTCATTTTGCTCTTCTTGAACTTAAAATTTCTGAGGGGTTTGTCTGTCACCAACAGACCAGGAAAGATCTAATTTTGAACCTGAAGTCAGAATATTGGGATCCTCCTTGTAATGAAGTGTTCAGTAATGCAGCTACTGTGCTATTTTGGTTTAGCCTTATTTCTATTTATTCACGTATCTTGTTAGGCTGGAGTGCTTAGAACTAAAATGTATATAGTCAATCTTTTTATAGTTCAGTATGTGAGATTTTAACCGAGGTATATCCCTAAGGAAGAGCAACACATCTTAACTGTGTATTTGAAATACTTCTCAGAAACACGATGCCCAGTTTACGGTCATCCAGCTAGTGGGGATGCTTCGAGGGATAGCATCTGGCATGAAGTACCTCTCAGACATGGGTTATGTTCACCGGGACCTTGCTGCTCGTAACATTTTGATCAACAGTAATTTGGTGTGTAAGGTTTCTGATTTTGGACTTTCACGTGTTCTAGAGGATGATCCCGAAGCTGCTTACACAACAAGAGTGAGTCACTTTTTCTTTTTGTCCTCTTTTATCTTTGTTTTCTGCCTTATGTTATGTGGACTTGCAAATAAATAGAAGTCATGTCTCTCAATGCTTTGTCAATTATGTCTTCCCGTGAAGGAAATGTATCCTTTAACATTAAACTATTGTTACTTCTTCTGGGCAAATAGATGGTCACTACTTATAAGGTGGATAATGATGGTAATTCTGAAATGTCATACATCGGTTTAATGTGTCCCCCAGAAAGACAGCATGGTTCACTCATGTTTGAAGTCTTGGGATTTTTATATTTACGCATTTTTGGATCTGGTTGAGCCACTTTTAGTAAACAGACAGGATAAATTCTCAGTACCTCCATCCAACTAGATATAATTTTAAAGCATTATAAAATTCATGTTAACCTAAGCAACACATGCTCACATCACAAAAATTTCAAAACAAAGCAATAAAAAGGAGAAAAGTCATCCATAATTGTGCCACCCACAGAGAACATTTGTAACTTTGTCAGTCAATTCTTCCAGATATTTTCTGCTTCCTTAGTATACACACCTATCCATGAATACATAATTAGAATGGGATTATTAATAATATCACTGTATAGCCTGCTTTTCTCTTAGCAATATACCTGCCAAATATATTTCACTGTCAGTAAATAATCTTCAAGTTTCCATTTTCAGCAGTTCTATCTATTCTACTATCTGGTTGTACAATTTTATTAAAATCAACTCCTAATTATTGGTCAAATTATTATTATTTCTAGCTTTTTAAAAATTTTTATCATTTTATTCTATTATTTTTTAAATTTTTTTCCATTATGGTAAGTGTACTCTTTAATCCCCACCGCCCACCCAGGTACCTTCTTATAACCATCAGTTTGTTCTCTATAGTTAAGAGTCTGTTTCTTGATTTGTTTCTCTCTCTCTCTCTTTTTTTTCCCTTTGCTTGTTTGTTTTGTTTCTTAAATTCCACATATGAGTGAGATCGTATGGTATTTGTCTTTCTCCGACTGATTTATTTCACTTAACATTGTGCTCTCTAATTCTATCCCTATTGTTGCAAATGGCAAAATTTCACTCATTTTATGGCTGAATGATATTCCTTTGTGTGTGTGTGTGTTGTACCATTTCTTTCTGATCTATTCATCAATCAAAGGACATTTGGGTTGCTTTCACAATTTTACTGTTTTAAATAATGCTACAATAAGCATAGGGGTGCTTATATCCCTTCAAATTAGTGTTTCGTGTTTGGGGGCTAAATACCTAGTAGTACTATTACTGGATCATAGGGTAGTTCTATTTTTAGTTTTTTTGAGGAACCTCCATACTGTTTTCCACAGTGAATGTGCTAGTTTGCATTCCCACCACCAGAGGAAGAGGGTTCCTTTTTGGCTCCTCACCAACATTTGTTTTTTGTGTTGTTTCTTTTAGCCATTCTGACAAGTGTGAGGTGGTATCTCATTGTAGTTTTGATTTGTATTTCCCTAATGATTAGTGATGTTGAGCCTCTTTTCATGCGTCTGGTGGCCATCTGTATGTCTTCTTTGAAGAAAGGTTTGTTCATGTCTTCTGCCCATTTTTAATTGGATTATTTGTTTTTTCTTCTTAAATTGTGTTAGTTCTTTATATATTTTGAACACTAACCCCTTATGGGATATGTCATTTGCAAATATCTTCTCCTATTCAGTAGGTTGTCTTTTAGTTTGGTAATTGTTTTCTTCATTGTGCAGAAACTTTTAATTTTGATGTAGTCCCAACAGTTTATTTTTGCTTTTATTTCTCATCTCAGGAGACATACCTAGAAAGATGCTAATAAGGCTAATGTCAGAGAGGTTACTGCCTGTGTTCCCCTAAAGGATTTTTATGATTCCAGGTCTTACATTTAGGTCTCTAATCCATTTTGAGTTTATTTTTGTGTATGATGAAAGAATGTTTTTCAGTTTTATTCTTTTGCATGTGGCTGTCCAGTTTTCCCAACACCATTTGTTGAAGAGACTGTCATTTTCCTATTTGTATTCATTTCTCCTATGTCAAAGGTTAATTGACTGTATTATTGTGAATTTATTTCTGGGTTTTCTGTTCTGTTCTATATATGTATTTTTCATCTGTATGTCTATTTTTAATACCAGTACCATACCATTTTAATTACTACTGCTTTGTAATATAACTCGACGTCTGGAATTGTGATACCTCCAGGTTTCTTCTTTTTTTTCGGGATTGTTTTGACTACTGGGGTCTTTTGTGGTTCCATACAAGTTTTAGGATTGTTTGTTCTAGTTCTGCAAAAAAAATGATGTTAGTATTTTAGTAGTGATTGCATTAAATGTGTAGATTGCTTTGGGTAGTATGGACATTTTAACAATATTTGTTCTCTCAATCCATAAGCATGGAATGTCTTTCATTTCTTTACATCATTTTGAATTTCTTTTGTCAGTGCTTTATAGTTTTCAGAGCACAGGTCTTCCACCTCTCTGGTTAAGTTTATTCCTAGATATGTTATTGTTTTTGGTGCAATTGTAAATGCAACTGTTTTCTTAATTTCTCTTTCTGCTGTTTCATTACTGGTATATAGAAATGCAGCAGATTTACGTACATTGATTTTGTGTCTTGTGACTTTACTGAATTCATTTATCAGTTCCAGTAGGTTTTGGTGGAGTCTTTCAGGTTTTCTATATATAGTTCCATGCCATCTGCAAATGGTGAGAGTTTACTTCCTTATTTGGATGCCTTTTATTTCCTTATGTTGTCTAATTTCTTCTGATACTATGTTCTATTAAAGTAGTGAGAGTGGACATCCTTGCCCACTAGGTCCTGACATTAGGAGTAAAGCTCTCAGGTTTCTACCATTAAGTATGCTGTTGGCTGTGGGTTTTTCATATTAGGCCTGTGTTATGTTGAGGTATGTTTTCTCTAAACCTACTTTGCAGAGGATTATTATCATGAATGGATGTTGTACTTTGTCAGATGCTAGCTTTTCAATATTTTGTACAAATGTGTAAATGATCCATCTGCATTCTTAATTATATAAGTCTGATAATTTCCCTATGATAGAACCCTAAAAGTGGATTTTCTGTGTCAAAGTGGATTTTCTGTGCCCATTTTAAAAGCGTACTTAAGGGGTGCCTGGGTGGCTCAGTGGGTTAAAGCCTCTGCCTTCAGCTCGGGTCATGATCCCGGGGTCCTGGGATCAAGCTCTCTGATCGACGGGGAGCCTGCATCCCCCTCTCTCTCTGCCTGCCTCTCTGCCTACTTGTGCTTTCTCTCTGTCAAATGGATAGATAAAATCTTTAAAATAAATAAATAAATAAAAGCATACTTAACTATATACTGATAAAAATAAATATTATCATTTTTTGTATTTTTTAGTTTTGAGAAATTGTATTTAATGGATTTAATTTTATTAATGTGATTCAAAATGCATTTGATTATTTCTTCATATATTTATTGACAGATTCCTTTGAAAAGACATTTCTTTATAGAATTCTTTTTTCATGGCAGACAATTTTAGAAAATAAAGATATTATGATCATCATTAATGATACTACCAAAGGTAACCAACTGTAATTACCAATTATGTATATAGTTATAAAATGGGATATTATATATATTGATATATAAAATGATATCCATTATCAATCCAGTATTTTCTTCTTTTACAAACTCAATGTTGTTTTGTAATCTATTTTAACTTAAAATATAAAATGTAAAATTTTCTAAATGATGAATTTTAACATTATCATTAAATAATGTATCATAACCCACTTTATCCATATACATTACTTATTTGTCCAATGCACTACTAATTAAGCAAATTCCAGAGTTTTGATATTCTTAACATTACTTTGATGTAATCCTGATAAATGATTAATGTCTGGCCATGATTATTTCCTCAGGATAAATTTCTGGAGTTAGAATTGTTGAGTTAAAATGCATGCAAAGGGACGCCTGCGTGGCTCAGTCGGTTAAGCCGCTGCCTTCGTTCGGCTCAGGTCATGATCGCAGGCCTGGGGTCGAGTCCCGCATCGGGTGCTCCTTGCTTGGCGGGGAGCCTGCTTCTCTCTCCACCTCTGCCTGCCACTCTGCCTGTTTGTGCGCTTGCACTCTCTCTCTCGCTCTCTCTCTCTGACAAATAAATAAATAAAATCTTAAAAAATAAATAAAATAAAATGCATGCAGATATGTGCATGATTTTCATATATGAATTGCCTAATTGTTTTCCATATAGTTTGTTATAGAATTTCACTTTTAGTGGCAACATATGAAAGAGGTTATTCCCCCATACACCAGCCAAGAGAATGGGCAGTTTTTAAATGTCAACTTCTGCTGTTTTCTTCGTGTTTCTAAAAGGCTATTACTGGGGTGCCTGGTGGTGGCTCGGTTGGTTAACTTCTGCCTTCAGTTTAGGTCATGATCTCAGGACCCTGGGATGGGGCCCCACATCAGGCTCCCTGCTCAGTGGGGAGCCTCCTCCCTCTTCCTCTGCTTCTCCCCCTGCTTGTGCTTGTTCTCTCCCTCCCTCTCTCTCTCTCTTTTTCTGTGTCAAATAAGTATAATCTTTAAAAAAAGAAAGTTATTATTAATTTAAAAAAATTTTAAAAGCTCATTCTTTCCTAAAACATCAATTTCAACAAATCTATTATCAATGACCAAGTGTGTCACGTGACGTCTATCTCACATTCTGAGAAAGAGCCCAATTTGCCAGACTGAGTTTCATCCATGAAGCCACAGAGATAGAACTAGAAATTCAGAAGCACAGTGTCCTGGAGATATTCCTAGATGAGTTGATATAGGAGTTGGAACTCTCCTGATGCCTTTATACATTACACTCTCTTTTGCATTTCCCATTTTCACTAGACTCTGTAAGTGGATTCACTGTCTATACATCTTAGTATTTCTTAAGATGTGTCCTGCACAAAAATGTTCCTGTTCTTGGGAATACAGCTCACTAGGTTGAAAGCAAAACAAATAAAATAAAATTTTATATCTAACAGCTAGTTTAATTGA